AGCAACGAATGTTGAAGTAAGGTAAAAGTTAGAGTGTTTCCTTTTCATATTCTGCATAATGATAGCATCATGCCAAACGGGGAAGGACTTATAAGACTGAAACATGGCGACTGTATTGTGGTGCTTTTATAAAATACATATTCTACGGGTAGTTAATACATCCTAGAACTGCATGCATTAACATCACCGCTGGGGAGGTGAACGCAGCATAGCAAAAAAAGCTTTATATTTTGAAGCTCTCTTGGCATCCGGATTTCTCGCTGTCCATCATCCGCAAGTGCGCAAAGAAAGCTCACAAGATGGTATGCGAAAGCTTCAACCTGCCGTAAGTTTGCATGCAAAAAGTGAGTTGCAGTCAAGGCTCAAAAAATTAGGAAAAATCATATCTTCCTTCAAAAAAACCCCGCATCTCCAACTTGTTCACACAGATTGCACACCCTTCGACTTGCTTATGAAGATTGCACCCCTCAACAGACATTTATATGTACCGTTGCTGTATTTTTTCCTCATCTAGAAATCGAAAAAACAAAAATTTTCTCATTTATGCAAGAACAAAGCTATGTTATTTCCACTCATATATTTGTCTACTACAAGCCCTTAGAAGCATGGCCGTAAATTTTCAGCTTTCCACAAGCCCTAATTTTCGAAAAATACCGGATTTACCATTGACCAAAGATAGAAAAACTGAATTCGGTATATTTCAAAAACTAGGGCATGAAAAGCTGAAATTTACGGCTATACTTCTAAGCGCTTGTAGTACACAAGCACAAAAATAGAAACAGCATAGCTTTATTTTTATAAAAACAAAAAGATTTTCCTTTTTTCAATTTCTAGATCAGAAAAAAAAATAGATATGAGTGTCTGTTGAGGGGTGCAATCTTTATAAACAAGTCGGAGATCTGTAGGATTTTTTGAACAAAGATATGAATTCCACAAATTTTCTGAGCATTCACTACGACTCAAATTCTGGATGCAAACTTACAATTGGTGAAGCAGGTGCAAACTTCTGCATACCATCTTGTAGAGCTTTCTTTGCTTTAACGAATGGTTCCCTGTAGCCCTATCAAGTTTATGAAATTTACGATACGATTTATTGTCGTAGAAAGTTAAAGTTAACAAGACTTATGTAACCGAATGCTATTGGTTGGGTTCTAAAGTTCGTACCATTTCTTAACATTAGACCTATTCTAAAATCGTTCAGAATGATAATAGACAAATCTTTCAAAAGTATTCGGTGCACCCTTTCTATCTTCAACAGCTATGTTTCCGTTGTGACTGTATCAAGCGCTAAGATGATTGCCGAAGTTTACAAGCCTTTTTTGCGATGTCTGATTTTTGCTGATTTTCAGAATTCTTATTTTAGACTTTTGAATGTGCCTAAGAGCCACCTGATAGGGTCAAATAATGTATGAAGGATTTGTCTATCATCATTCAGAACAATTTTAAAATAGGTCTAAAAACGGTACGAACTTTCGGACCCACCTCGTATATACACATCAAACAAAAGGGAGAAGTACAAATTGCATTTTCCGACTCTTTCTATGATCCACCGATGTTCTTTAGTGCCCGACTTTTTTTCAAAGTTATTTTTTCTTCTTTGCAGTTGATAAAATTATAAAATTGTGTCAGAATTGTACCGATTATCTAGCCCGACAGCACTTAAATGTTCTTGATAAACAATTGAGTATTAAATATTAAGATTTTTGAAAGATGCTCAATTTTCCACTTTTGGTTTATCGCAGTTTACATGACCTTGATACATCATTTGTTCTTATCAAGAACATGCGTAGATGATTAATGCAACACGAGTTTTCATTATCTTCGAAGAAAAAAATGAGTTTGAAAAAGAGACAGTCAGCCGCTAGGGATCATCATGGGCAATTACTTTTTAGAAGTTAGCTTCTGTGCACAATATCTCCAGGTGCTTACACCCAGCAAAATAATGATTCTTGCGCTATATTGTAACAAACTTTAGGTTGTTGCAAAAATAATGTCCGTTTTGCAAATTTTCACTTTGGAGGGCTATAATTTCGTTCAGTCTTCATATTTTTGAATGCAGTCAAGACCTTCAGAAACAGCAAACCTTTCGTAATTTAGCGCGCGCCTGCTCATACTGATATCGCAGTTGGGAAGAAAACCACGCGTCAAAAAGCTAAAAGTTTTTCTCTCGAAAACCTCTTCTTTAAGAGCTTACAACTCCCTTCAAGTTTTGTTCGTATGGCTGGCAATCAGCTTATTTTGTAGCAGAGACCAAGAGTTTATGGGCTTATAGAAAAGACTCCGACGAAAGAGTTCTGCGAAAAGAAAAGACAAAAATTCAAAAAAGTTCACTTTTCTAAGCCCACTTGTTGTAGGCTTATAAGCGTCAAATTGGAAAAATTTGAAATTCTTCGCGCAGTGAATAGCTGAGTTTCTCTTCAAATATTGTAGTTGAGGTGTGCTAATCTCAAGTTTACAGAAATGGGCGAAGCTTTGGCGATTGCCTTAATTATGAGAAATTTCTGATCCATAGAATGCCAGCAGTGAGTATTTTTTTTGAGGCGTCCATTTCTCAGTCCAGATATCTCCAAAAATCCACATAAGCACGCTGTAGGTGAATAATCTTCATCCAATAGAAATGCTATGTTTTCAGAAGAATTCGTTCATTTGCGCCTGAATTGTGGCCACGAAAAAACAAGCATCGAAATTTCAATTTTGAGTGCAGTTGTGCGAGGTGCTGGTGAAATTCTCACAGATGAGGATAGCAGCCTATTTCCACCATCGTTACAAAGTACATGAAGAGGGCTTTCCAATGATATGCAAATTCTATATCGAAAAAGAAAGTTTGATGGAAAAAAAGTTGTTTGAAATATAGGCCTAGAAAAACGGACATTATTTTTGCAACAACCTAATACCTTTCATTTATTGCGAAAACCATTTCTTATAATGCGAAGAGCATTTTCTCTGAGTTGTTTTGTTTATTTTAGCGGGAATCCCCACTTCATCATCCGGGAGGTTAATATGACACTTCACTTTTTGTCCAAAAAACCTTACAAAAAAACCACAAATTGTGTGCTAATAAAGTATAGAATTGCGGAAAGCGACTTGAAACACTTGTTGAGAGTGCCACATATCACTACCAATCATGAAATAAGGCGCAAACTGTTACTTCATACTTTATGTACGCACCACTGAATTCCAAATATTGAAATCACTCCGATAGTCTTTTTCTACACAGTCTAAGGCAGTGTCCTGGCAGATGTTAAAGATCATCTTTTTTGCATTTGGGTCATTCTGTAGCGTTGGACCCAAATAATGGTTTAGACCATGTGAAAAAGCCAAAGTTAGAGCGTCACCTTATTTCTGAAAAAGAAGAGCTCGGACGAGAGTCTTGGCACTAAATCCCTTGCGCCAGTAATTTTTGAATGGCATATAGATTGCGTTGCTGTGGTCATGGTCCTGCCCAGATTAGTTCATTGATGTCGTAGAGCTTGTGTCAAAGTGAGGGAGTGAGGTTCCTGCGCCGATTTAGAAAGGGTTTTTTGCGAAAATGGAATTGGGGGCCAACGGGTAAGTCCAATACCCCACTATGAGCATCTTTGTAAGCATTTGTTTCTGCCGGAACACTGACTTTGAGGTAACGAACTATTACTAAGGCAGTCGAAAAGATGTGTAAGGAAAACTGAAAACTGATGCTTTGCGCAATCAATTCTTAATTCAAAACTCTTGAAATACTGCTTCCACTAAGTTACAGTGTACTATCATTCACTCCGTTCTTTTACGTTAATGAAAGAGCTTTACAAGGACAACAGTACGAAGTAGCATTATCTACTCAGCTGTAGGGTAAGAGCGCACAATGTTGAACTACACTAGGTCTCATGAAACACGATGGTATTCGTGACATCAAAAGAGAAGTAGTGTAAGCAGCTCTGGAATTTTAGTGACACAGATGACAAAACTTTTCACCTGTCGTCTGTACAAAGAATGTTGTATGTAGGGCAAATACGGACGATATAACTTAACATTCAAATTGTAGGGTAGAACTAGTACATAAGGAAGCGGTCGATCTACCTCTATTAGTCTGGTTGCTGTTCGTCCAACCTCGTGTTACGTTATCCTCTCATTTCTCTCTTGTTAAACCCTACTTGTGATAGCATGGACTCAGGAGCTCGACCGCTTGGTTTTTTGAAGTGCTTGTGCTATCAAATAATCGTTGAAAGATCAGTCATTTCTTTACGCTGTGAACTTCATTTGATGGAAAGCAAATTTTGCAAGTCTGCATGTTGTTGTAACATTTTGTTTTTTCATGCTGCAGCAAAATTTAAAGATATCAACTACAATTTGCTATGCGAATGTGCTGACGCCATTCTAAAACGGAACAAGTCGGCTCTCTTCTTGTCACTCTTTCATCAAAAGTCTCAAAAAACTGGCTTTCACGACGATGATCATAATGTGCCGAATCACTAAAAAGCCCTAATTTTTTCTATTATAACATTGCCTTTAATTGCAAAATTTCTGACTTCTTGTTCTCTGCAACTTCAAAGTTCCGATTACGTGATGTTTCAAAACCTCTAAAAATGCCCAAATATCTCTTGGAGAGATATTTAAGAATCGAGTTTTGGAAGACCTGTATTTCACATGACTGGTCCATACATTTTCACATAAATATAAGTAGAATTTAAAGCAAGCTGGCCTGCAAGGACCTTAACTTCTATAGATCTATGCAAAATTTTGGTCAACTGATAACTGACAAAAATTGCAAATTATTCACATCTTTGATTTGAAGTCAACTTTCGAAAGTTCAAAGCAACTTTAGGTACATGACAAAATGATCGTAAAATTGAAAACACAATATTTATGTGGAAAATAATCTTTGTGACCTTGTGCCTATAGCCCAAATGTACTGTCATAGTTTCGTTGTTGCAACGTACCAATAATTTATCATTTATCAATGAAAATGAAGCTTGAAGGCTTTAGATTGAATAAATACAGTAGTTTTTATATTCCAACAACTTCAGGCAATGAAGTTTGCGGTTATCATCTGCCTAATCCTGTGCCTTTGGGAAATAGAAGTGGCAGCGAAAACGAGGACCTCATGGAAGAAAAAGGATAGGGGTAGAGGAGGAAAGTGGAAAAAAGGCTTAATACCCGCATTCATATACAAAGATAACAGAGTCTACTGTAATAGGACATTGCGGCCGGAAGTGCATGTTCAATATGTTCTAGTAAGATGCTATATTTTTCGAAACCTCATTGAATTTCAGAGTTTTATAATGATAAATTTGCAGGCTGGTTGCAACATTACGCTTGCACATCCCAATAGACCTAGAAGTCAAAGTTGGTTGCGTGCAGTGCTATCACCAGAAGAAAAGAAGCAGGAAGACATGCGGACGGAGGGAAAGGGAAAATCGAAGTCGAAAAAAAAGAAGTTTACAAGCACAGAACAGCAGCAAACAAGCCGGCAACCAGTAAAGCGAGAGGTACTCAGAGAGGCTCTTATGGAATGTAACAGATCTGATAAAGCTGATAACGAAACCCGCGCAACCGACATCGCCAACATGCACAAATGGTACAAACAAATGTGCTTTGGATTTGCTCCATTGAACAACGAGGTAAGCTTTTTCCTTCATTATGAATTATCAATAACAATCCTCTGAGAATGCATATTGATACTAGCGCTTGGACAGTTTGGTCACAGCGATATATTTCCATGTTGGATTTTGTGATTGCACGTCAATTATCACTTTGCAGTAAATTTTGCCCATTTCCACGGGTTTTGTAGATGTCATCTTGTATAGTCATCACAAGTAAACTCTTATTAAACGGTGCCATTTTTTCCAGCCGCGCTAGTTATCAAATTGTCTGTCTTATTTGTCATTTTCTTGCAGCAACAAGTTTGATTGACCTTCTCACCAGACAAGGTTAAAAACTAGATAACAAACAAATTTGCTAGTCAAAGTCGTGGTGGCGAAATTTCTGCGAAAAACAAGCTTGACAAAACTATACATTTCAGAAAGCTGGCGACATTTCTTCAACCTGCATAACTGAGTCAAACACAGCTAGTCTTGTGCCTCTTATTCTACCCTCTTTACCTCTTCCTTTTCAACTTGTTCACATGCACTTTCGTTCGCACTTTTGCCTTCATTCAATTAAATAAAGTAGAGAAATTTGGCTACCATTCTACTTTAACTACAGCGAATTAGCATAGGCAAGAACAAGCTTTGTTTCTTCAAGTTTTTTCAAGCGGGTTTACCCTTGATAAGAGAAAGCATTTGATGTGAAGAGTTTAGTTTATATATTGCGTTAGAACCCACATATAAACTTATTACAACACAATGCCCTAACTTTTCCATATTTTATACGTGCTTGAATTGTTTAACTCCAGACCATCTCAAGAAGAAATGCCACGATAACGACCCCAGGAGTCCTTCTCATGACGAACGTCACGGTGGAAGATTCTGGTATATACCAAGCACGAAGTGGAGTAAGTGCTAGTTTATGAACCGTTGAAAGACGAAGTATAGGTTTTTTAAATTAAACCCGGTTCTTTCCATATCATTTTATCAACCAAAACGCGCTAAGTTATGGAAATGAATGCAGCATTAACAATAACCTAACTCGACAGCTACTACGTAAATTAGACCTTTTGCACTGTTTCCATTTTCATGTAATGCTGGTTAGCGAGAATAAGGAGCCACTTACATAGCAGCAAAATTATAGTTTTCAAAAAATTTTTCCATTTGCTGTGCAACAGAGGATGCTGCATGCCCAGATTCTGATGTTAGCTCCCGCTGAATTTCAGAATATTAACATTTGCTTAACAGCAAACAGAACTATGTCGTTTTAAAAGTATGCCTCTTTTGTCAAATTAACACCACTATTCTTGGAACCATGATTTTCAAGAGATCTCGGAAGCAACCGATAACACTTCGTCGTTTTTTTAACCGTTCTCTCGAAGAATTACCAAAATCTCACTCATGCTTTTTGCCATGGTCAAGTTCGACTAGTTCCCTAACTCTTGTACTGATATTCCGAAGAGGTACAAGTAACCGTGGATAAAGCAAACCCTATAACAGACAATACGATTCTTTTGTTTAGCTTGCTTTTTAGAATCTAAAATTACTTTTTAATGCTATCAATTCCACATTTACTCAACACAAACCTCATAGAACAACAGCTGGTAAGCAATTCGAATGTCATTAGATGCAGCTTTTTCTCCTCTTTCCACCAGTTCCTTTCTGTTTTCAATTTATGAAATCTCCGGGAATAAAGTCATCAAAATTTAAGTTTCTTGGAGAGCCCCTAGGTTGTACCCGAAATTCTCGAAAATTGTTGAGCTGAAGCGGTAAATGCTCATTTCCCTTGAAAAGTTAGCCATAGTCCAATTTTGTAAGTTTTAAATCCAAAGATTCATTTTGACACATCTGTGTGTGAGACAAGCATGCTAAATTTCGTTGGTAACAAGAAATCTATAGAAAAAATTATGACGAACAAAGTAGAAAAAATTGTGCTGTTTGCTTTAGGAATTGTTCTATTCATCCATTATCTGAGGGTTGTTATAAAATTTAAGAAAAATTGTAAAACTTGACCTTCTCAAAAAGCATGGGTCGCAGGTTTTGGTAATTTTTCAAGAGCTCTGAATATCATGCAATGTTTTTATGACCATCAAAAAGAGAACGATATGCTGCATCAAATAGCCAAACCTCCTTACAAATCTTTGTTCCACCAGATGTGGCGTACATTTGAAAAAAGAGACACTACTTTTGGAACGACCTGTTTTATTTCAACTGTAGCAGTAGACAAAGTTTAGCAAGATAAGCTCGTCTTTGTCTATGAATAAAAATTATGAAAATTTTTTCAGCGCAGCTACAAAGAATTCAATCTACAAGTCGAGAAGCCACATTTCAAGATAAAGATAGTGACCAAAAAGCAGGTCGAAAAAATATTAGTACCTAAGGCGGAATGATAATGCTCTATTTTTCTTACATCATCGACTGATTTTTCTTGGTTGCGTTCTCATCTATGAAATGTTTGTGTGTAGTTCGCAAAATGAAACTATTTTCATGGTTGCATTGTATTTCTTTCGAATTTCCCGAGTATTTAGTTCTGACAAACATAAATGAATCGATTTGCACTGGAATCACCCATTACGTGGATATGGAGTGGAAGTGCTAGCTTGTATGTGTTCTGAATACTAGTGATGATTATACCATGAAATGATTATACACTAGTAAAAAATGGCTCACTTGTATTCAAACTCAACATTGAGTTAACGTTCTTATACACTTAAAGCGCTTTATTTTGTGGAATTTCTGTATCGTTCGGTCATAGCTATTCATCACACGTTTCTAGTTAGTTCAAATATTCATTGCATAAAGTTCTCACGTTCATTCGAAACAGACAAATGCTCATTACAGTTGTAGCAAATGACCATCATTTAGTTAAAACCGCCAGACAGCATAATTCGATTATATTATCAGGAATTTTTAAACGGCGACCAAGATTGGTTGCAATCAGTTTGATACCCTATTTTCAGGTGTATAAGCCGCAAATTTTCAAACGGGCTGCTCAGTCGCTTCATTGTGATTCGAGAAGCGATCCTTATGCCGCACGATGCTTTCAGGCAATACGCAGCACGTTATAGGGTCCTTTGGTTGCAAGGTCCCTCAGTGTGTTCGGGCTGGTCGATGTAAGGTAAGACCATCCCGCGGCTTATACAACTGAAAATAGGGTACATGGTAACGTTTTGGCGCCAACGCCGTCTTCAAAGTCTGTAATCAAAAACGTATGTGTGAAGTATTATAAATTGATTGTATACCAATCTTGGTCGCCGCTCGAATATTACTTACAAGACAATCAGACATTGTTTGAACGCTCAATCAACTTTCAATCTCGCAACCACTAAAATATTATGGTTTTGCTGGCTGGACTATCGTTGACAAAGTGAAATAATTGCGATGGAATGATAAGTGTGTACGACCATTGGCAATAGTGTTACATTGTTACTTTCCATCGTTGAACGATTAAGAGAAAAAAATGTTTTGCTGGGGGCTGAGTAAAAACTCCTAAAACTTGAACGACAATATTTATTCATTACTTTTTCTTGAAATGACAGCATGCTGATAAACACATTGGACAATGTACTCGTCACAAAATTCTCTTGTTTTAAAAAAGTGCTAAAAACCACGGCACGCAATTCAGAGACATAAAACCTACTACTATTTTTTTTTGAAAATTGCTGTGTTCGCTCTGCGCCTATTACAAACGCGATTATAAGACATCCGCGGCAAAGCCTTCGCAGAATTAAAACCTTATAAATTTAACTTAAGCCCTTCTTGTTTTAGTGAAAACACCAAAAACGCTTGAGCAAACATTAGTTTTTATTTTTGTGCCTTATTTGGGCGACTTTTGAGCTTTGTAACTCGCAAGATTCGAAGACAGGCTGAGACATAAAAGTGTGTTCAAAGTAGTACAAAACTTGTTTAACAAAGAAATGGTGTTACACAAAACGATGAGAACTGACATACATGGATTCTAGAAAATAAACACCAAAAATGTTTTTGTTGACGCCCAGGTACAGTTGACTGTGAGAAATTACTCAAAAATTAACTAGTAACATTCGGATCTGACCAGTCTTGAGAACAAGAGAGCGCAATCAGTTGCGATTGTTTCTACATAGCAATCCATAAACAAAAAATGTTTATTCTTGTCATCTAGCCCTTTAGTGCGATACAGTAGTTGATATCATTCTTGGTACCGTTCTTATTTCAGCCGCAAAGCTGAAAGTGTTGGGAAGGTGAGGATCAGCAAAGGGAAACATGTGTTTAACAACACTACGGGCCAATGAACATGCATACAACGACTACTCTGTACTTGGTGGTTGTTTGTTCAAATGGATAATTAACTAACCTCCAAGTACAGGGTTATTTCGAATTTGCCAAACTGCTAATTTATGATATGAACTCGTAGAAAAAGACCAAGGTTTTATTGTAGGTTACTATGGTCTATTTCCTGTTGAGTCAGATTTGTCTCAAAAACTAAATTGTAGACGGAAGTTTCATCTATTTCCCTCACTTGTGCAACTGATAGTGCAAAGCCTGAATGCTGGATATATAATGTACACATATGGAAACTCAAACAAAGTGCACAAATATAGGTCTAGACGATTCTTCCAAGAGTGAAAAGAGCAAAGGTTTGGGAGATCTTATTCGTACACACTCGAGCTTTCTTTATTCAATCCTAGATTTCAAGGTTCCGCTATCAAAAAACTCTATTCTCTGTAATGAAGTACGCACGATTGACGATGAGATTTTAATTTGATAGCGGCGTACGTCTTACGTCCGCGTGATTTAGGCGAGTTTATGGATGTTAATTTTTGAAGATCGATAGACGTACGGAACTTTGGATAAGCGGATGCAATTAATGGGCTTGTGTGCACAGAACAAGTCGAGATCGTAGTTGAAGTTGCATAATGATAACATCCGCGTTTATGCCGGCTGCACAGTTGCCGTCATGTCCGGAAAATGCGCAGAAGACCGTGACTTTTTTGGAAGCTACGATTCAAAGTGGATGTGCCAGGGAAATCAATGCGCGAGGAAGTAGGACCCGTAAACGGAACTGAGCTCTTGCCATTTCTAAAGCTGTGCTCTGGTAGTTTAGCCTGCTGCTGCAGTTTAGTAATGGTTAAAAATTTCTGCTTCTATTCTGGGTTGGTTTGACGGGCCATGGTGCATTCCTAATGACTACTTGATTAAAGAATATCTTGAGCGTATCATCTAAATGCCGTTCAACCTGGCTATCGTGTCTTCGTGATCCTTTCTCCAAAAAGCCTTGGAATCACAAGCTAAACAGATAGCTAAACAGATACGCCGTTTGTGAAAGAATACGAACCTCGACCGCAATTTCAAAAGCCGCACCGCCCATTTGCTTTACTACGTGCTGTTGTAGATAGTCATATCCGAAGGCACGTCAACATGGTCAAACCTGAGTTTCTTGAGAATGTTCTGCAAGCAAGGTTTGCAGCTTTAAAATGAGCATCTCTGGTTCCGATAACATATATCTTGCCTCGAATGACGATCTTGACTGAAGCGCTTTTCTTGTAAGTGAACGCTGGACAACCAAAACTTTCAAGTGTCAGTTGGGTGTATGCTCATTGAGAAATCGCTGAAGAGTGGGCGAGGAAGAAGCAATATATCAGCGAAAAGCTGGAGCGAGGATGGGGTCCACAAAGCGCTCTTGCAAAAATTGGTGGGCTGTTTTTATAGGATCGAGCGCGAAAATCAGCAACGCGCGATTTCGTGCGCCCACCTACCCCCGGCGATTGTCTGTGTGTAGGTGAATTCGCTTTTGTGTATTTTGGTCAGGTGTAAGTTGGCGATTGTCTTGGTAGGTGCAAAGTATGTGAATTTGCTCTTGCGTTTTTTGGTCAGTTATAAAAAGCATTGATTTGAAAATACTTGTTCGATCACTTATTGATTTCCACCTTTAATTCATTCGTTATATCGTCATGTATAATCAGTTTTTCTTGAATCTAAAAAATGCGTTAGACTGCAGTGAGGAGTTTATTGCTTGACAAGCTCGGTAGATAAGCTCTTTAACTATTAGCATAAACCCAAACTTCAAAACTTTTAAGTGATATTCAGTGTCGCAGTTTTGCACCAATAGAGAAAGTAATCCTGACCTAATTGCTGAGTGCAGATGAGTCAGAAGGCCAGTTGTCCTCATTCTACTAGTCGCACAGTGGATGGATTCGAATTCAGACTGGAACGCTTTTAATTCAAGCTTGCACATTTTTTGTTTGTCTTGTTGTCAAACTCTACGTCTTGTAATTTAACGACGTACGTGGTTAGAAATGGCGGTTTTAGTGCTGTTGAGCGTTGTTTCTTATTTCCATTCTCGTTTGCAAGAGTTCAGGTAAATTCAGCGCGCGACATTTTCAGCTTTAAATCCAAGCTTAGACATAGTTTTTTTTTCTGTTTACCTTATTGTTACCCACTCTTTTTTTATGTCACGAACAATGTTCGTGATTACAATTGATGATACTAATGTTTGAGTAATTTCATAAACAGTCGAGCAGATTTTTCGCTTAATACAGTGTGATTTGCGCGTGAAGAGTAACCATGCCAGTACTGCGGGTCACAGGTGCGACAGTGTGAGAATTTTCTCACCCCCTCTTCACCTCTGAGCCGGGACCAAAGTGACCCCCTTCACCAAAAGCCGAGAAAAAAATCAACAGTGAGGTAAGGTTAAGCAAAGGAGATATCTGTACGTGAAATGTTTATGTTCAAGAATGGAGGAGTCTGTTGAAGTTTTTAATATAAAAAAATTCATAGCTTTTGTAGATAAATATCTTTTACGGAGAAATGGTCACCGTTGAAACCGCCTTGTTCCCCGCTTTCAGAAAATATACTTTGCCTGGGGTACATTATAAAAAGTGCCCGAGTGAAGGGTGTTCTAGTTATTTCTGAAGATTTTCGAGTTTTTAACATAAAAAAATTTATAACTCTTGTAGATGAACATGTTGTACGCCATGGCGGTCACCGTTTTGGAACCGTCTCGTCCTCCGCTTTTAGAAAATATGTACTTTGCCTGGGGTCCGTTATAAACGGGTGAAGGGTGGGTGAGACATAATGGGAGTGCTCAAGTACAGGCTTTTATACAATTGTAAAAAGACGTCTACTTGAGCACTCCCATTATAAAAGTCTACAGTGTACAACATATTCATTTACAAGAGCTATGAATTTTTTTATGTTAAAAACTCGAAAATCTCCAGAAATCACTAGGACACCCTTCACCCAGGCACTTTTTATAACGTACTCCAGGCAAAGCATATTTTCTGAAAGCGGGGAACGAGGCGGTTTCAATGGTGACCATTTCTCCGTAAAAGATATTTATCTACAAAAGTTATGAATTTATAACTCTTGTAGATGAACATGTTGTACGCCATGGCGGCCACCGTTTTGGAACCGTCTCGTCCTCCGCTTTTAGAAAATATGTACTCTGCTAGAGTTTCTATAGAAAAAGTGCCGGGTGAAGGGTGGGTGAAATTTTTATAATGGGGGTGCTCGAGTAGACGTCTTTTTACAATGGTAAAAAAGCCTGTACTTGAGCACTCCCATTATGTCTCACCCACCCTTCACCCGGCACTTTTTATAACGGACTCCAGGCAAAGTACACATTTTTTGAAAGCGGAGGACGAGACGGTTTCCAACGGTCACCACCATGGCGTACAAGATGTTCGTCTTCAGAAGTTACGGATTTTTCGATCTTGAAAACTCGAAATATTCAGAAATCACTACCCACACTCTTCACCCGGCACTTTTTCAACAGACTCCAGGCAAGCTGTATATTTTCTAAAAGCGGAAAACAAGGTGATTTCAAAAAGATTTCCCTTGCTGACGTTGCTGTTCATCTACAGAAATTACGAATTCCTTCTTTTAAAAATATTCGTAAATGTTTAAAAATTGTCTAACTCTTTCCGAAACAAATGTTCGCGCATGCACATCTTCTATGGTAATTCCTAAAACAGGCAGGATCATGTAAAAAAAGAAAAGGAAATGTTAAAAAAATATAAGGTGCTGGTCAGAAATATAATTATGCTAATTAGCGCATCGGTTCACATTTCAGAAAAAAGATAACCAGTGATGGTAAGGAATAAATTAAGAACTTTGACTAGGAAAAATAATGAGAAAACACCATGGCTCCCCCCCCCCCCGTCGAGATTTTATGATTTCTCTACCAAGTGAAACACCCTTCACCCTGGAGGGGCTGCGACCACTGTGACCCCCTTCACCCTGGAGGAGCCATTCTCACCTTATCGCACATGTGCTGCGGGTATCTTGCGCGCGCAATTGGCCGGCATCACAGTCGAAGCTATTTGTTCACAAGCAAATTTTACCGCATTTCACCCTCTGTGCAAGCACGCTATAGTAAATAGTATTTCCCTATAGCACACTTAAGGAAATCTACACGACTGTAGCACTGTCCTTCGATTCTTAAACTCTGTTTGAAAGCATGCATGGGGGAAAGATGCACATAGGTAGTTGGTGCCAAAAAATTCACTAAAGCAACAGTTGCACATGTTAATTAACAAAAAAGAGTTTACAGCCAAAATTCACCAAAATCGTATCTCCAACCTTATCTGAAATCAGATTCAAACAAACGAGGATAGAAATTAGAGATATTGCTCAACAGTATCATAGTTGTCAATTCTGACCACGTACACATAAAATCACAAGACGTCGCCTTATACAAAAAAAGCAGAAAAAGCACGTGCAAGTTCGGATTGAGTGCGGCGTCTGTCGCGCTATATCGAGACCGGCCTGCTTTAGTTTGAATTCGAGTTTATTCACTGTTCGACTAATGGGGGTTGGGGATGACTATATAATTGACTCACAAAATCACTCGAAGGCGTATTAGCGGTGCGGATGTTCAGTGGGCATAGCTAAATTGACTATGGGTTGAGCATCGCACGCCTTCTCGGCAATCTGAGCTGAAGTTATAAAAAACGTTTGGGGAAAGTAGTAATAAGTCAAACCTTTTGATTCTTAGATTTTGTCCGGCGCATTCTCAAATATCGTGTTAGGAATCCTTCGACTCGAAGAACCGAAATAGGACGTTGCATCAAAAACTATTCTATAAAAGACAGTTCACACTTTTGTTTGCGGTTCGCTCGAGTATCATAAAACTTGTTGGATTCTCTAATACTTGAGTCATAAGGAGAACAGGAAGGTGAGAAAAAAAACGCCATTCACATTATCTTTGATTTATCATATTAGTAATAAGTAATATATTAGTAATAAAATAATAATAAGTAATATATTAGTAATAATAATATCATAATAGTAAATCTACCGCAAGCACAACCAAAGACCCTAAGGACCCGTCATACTTCGCCGAAAAAAGTCCAAAGGCGCTCAAAGCCCGAAAAAGCCCAAACGAGCTCGGAAAAGCCCGAAAGCGCCAGAACGCCCTATTCGTGCACAATGGCAAATTGTCTACAAATTTTCACATTTCCGCATCAAAGTAAAAAGCAAAAAATAAAACGAAAGGGACAGCGGAGCTGCTGAGTATCAGCCGAACCTGTCGCGTAGCGGCGGAGAGCGGCTGGTAATAAATCAATGCGGAAAGTACATGTATGAGCAAGTAAGAAACTCGTAAGAGTTTTTTTTAGACGGAAATGAGTTTGTTCTCAATTTTTCGGGCACTTGGATTTTTAGTCAACTTCGAACTTTATGTGAAGAAAACTTTGAGCAAATATAAATGTGCCTTCTTGTTTTATCGAATTTTATCGTAGAGCTTATATGAAAAGCAAGAATATTATGCGTTATTATTATAATGACCATATTATTTCGTTTTTGTTTTTTTGGTAATAAGTGATATTTTCTTGAAATAGCTTTTGCAATACCATTGACAAAGCAAAGCAAGCTTTACAGAAGGCACCAAAACATATGCTCAAGTCTGTTCCACCTACAGTTCGAAGACGAAAGCTAGGAAGTGAATGCCCGAAAAGTTGAAAAAAATGTATTTCCGTTCAAGAAACCTCCTACGCACTTCCTGACATGCACTCTATTCATCTGACTTCATCTGTAGATTCGCTTTTTTCCACTAGAGAAACATACATCCCACGATATAAAAAGAATCGAAACCGAAACTCCTCACTTTTCTGAACAATCGATGCGGGAGCCCACCTATTTATGCCAGCGCTTTTTTCGTGCCTGAGTTGTGTTTGTTGCCTTGATTCAGTGCCTTGCTTATTTTTCATCATCATCTCATTATTTCCTATCACTTCTCAATCTACAGAGAAATTGTTTATTGCATGATTTGTTTTTGTTTACTCTAAGTGCCTCTGTAAGATCAGTGTTGCATAGCTGAGCACGGAATTGAAGGCTCTTGCGTGTCATTTTCTTATCAACATCGTACTACTATAATCTACCTGGTGTTTTTCGTTACTTTTGCGGTTCGAGTGAAGGTTGTGCTAAAAGATGTCATTTATACCTGAGTTGTGAACGTCTGAATGTACTTTACATATGGTTCTGCTTTACCCAATCTCAGAAATTTTTTTCTTTTTGGATGGAATCGGAAAAAGATGAAGTCAATATGCCTCTGGATGACATCTACTATCGAAAGGTCACTGTTAAGATCATTGCTGTGCAGCGAGAAATGGGGCATGTAAGCGGAATAAATATTTGGAAAGGAGTGCATTTAAATAATTAGTATAGCTTCGAGAGTATGCGTAGTCGTGCTAAAATCTTATAACAACGACAGATGCGTTGTGCTCATAGATTCCTCCTGCAACAAATTCATAATCAAGAGTATTACAACAACAACTTTACAATCTTTTGGAAAGCATGTTTTAAAATAATGGTTTGCGCGCCCTCTGGTGGACGAAGGCAGGCAGCCTTAGTGCAGCAGGAGCATGTTGTCTACCTGAAGACGCGAGTCCGCGCAAACCCTAGGGGTTTCTCGAATTCACCAAACTTCTGCCGATGAGTTTGAGAACCTGAAAGAATATGAAATCGATTAAAGTATGCTCTTCCACATGCTTAACCCACAAAGGTCGTCAAAAGCTTATGGTCTATCTGGTGTGAGGGCATCAGGAATTAGCTGCTAATTTTGCAGTAGTGGTACTGTACAATAATTCAGATTTGTGACCCAGAGAAGAACCTTCAACATTAACGCGTTAGATATAAAAATGGGGAGGTCGACAGTATTGAAAGTGGTTAAAGGAGTCACAGAAGCGATAAAAAGGGAAGCCTCTCCCACTTGAAGCTCAATTAATTGCACCAGTTCAGTCGTGCAAAATGCTGCCTTTCCACGCTTGACGAGACAGATGGAGCAAGTAGCTAGGACAGCACAAGAAATTTTCGACTACCCCAGGGCCGTAGGATTTATGGATGGAAAGCATATAATTCTTCAGGTTACTTTGATCAGACATCATGAATTACATTTTCAGGTTATTGTTCAGTAATTGTTCAGAAGTCTGCTCGCTGGGGCAGCGCTTATTGGAACTATAAGCACTACCACTCCATTATCCTCTTAGCCATACGTAACTGTGACAATCGCATCATAGCTTACGATATAGGTGCCCCTGGCCGTGCTGATAATGCAGGGGTTTTCCGCTCATCTGTCATCAAGGTCTGCTACTTCATAAGAATGACAGAACCAAGTTTGGAGATGTCCAGGGATACCTGAATCGTCATGACAAGATTTTCCCTCTTACGGCCGACCTCGGCGAAGTAGGCCCCGTCCAGTTTCATTTCTCGTGAACGGCGGATTCGCACAGAGCCATAAGTTCATTCGACCATACAGGCAGAGGGAAATAAACACACGAGATGGGAAGCGGTTCATTAAGAAATTGAGCGAGTAAGGCTGTATTGTTCACGTCACACTTCTAAAATGATTATAGTAGAGCTCGCCATGATCGTACTTTTGGGATGCTCGCTTAACGATTTCAAGTCTCGATAACCCGTCTGACTTTGGATCCCGATTGAGTTGAACAACTTGTTTTCCCTTTTACGACACTCCTCACGGACATGCGCCAAACTCCTACCATCCTCTGCAAAGAGGATTGGCCAAGTCTCGGAATTGGGCAGTATAGCAAGGGGCAAGATCCACACAGTATATGTTGATAGAGACGGGCCCGCAAGATAATCCACATTTCTGTTTTGGTACTTATTTGTGTATAAAACCCCATTTTACCATTTTGCATTCATCTTTTCTGCAACTCGAGGATTACCAATCAAATATGTGTGTGCGTTCTGAATAGAAGTTTTTGTTCCTGAACTAGTGCGGACCGAGCTTGGTATACGCACGTCGAGGCTGGAGATTAGGCTACTTTTTTTTGTAATAGAGAATTTTATCGACTTTTTGCAAAGTTTGAGCTACTCGGCTGGGAATAAGCATAGTGGGCTAGATGACTATGATTATAACGAAATCAACAATTTGTAAAAATACCCTCTGCTTTCATCTATTGCATTGGCTTTTCACAGAGTTTGATTTGTGGAGCCTAGAATTATTGCAGATAGACAAACTAGAGAATTGGATCTTTGTCATGCTCAGATAATCGCCGGGGGCAGGCTGTCCGCAAACTCGCGCTTTTCTGCAAGGGGTCAACAGAATTTTTGGGGCGTGGTCAAACCTTCAGCTGGTGGCACTTCCTTTACGGTCGCATATTCTGCCAGCGGGCAGCAACACAGCATTTCCTGCAAGCGCTCGGCGAATATTTTCTTTCAACAAGCACTGGCCAAACTTACAGCAAGCGTTCGGACTCTTTTTAAACCTTTTCGGGCATAAGCCGAGCACTGGTAAGACTCTGTGTGTGGCAGAGGTGTCACCGTTGGTTTAATTACTCAAGTTTGAAGTACTTTCTCTCAGCGGAAAGTACCTGGGGGCTGCGCGGTCCTCCACAAAGGACCGTGCGGCCCCCGAAAATTTTGGCTATTCTCGCGGGCATTCGTCCAAACTTTCGCTCAAATTCTTTTAAATATCTGCAAGCGGACCGCAAGAAATCAGCGAACTATTTTTCCGGTGCCCGCCCATAAATCGCATGGTCGCCTGCCCTCAGCGATTATCTGAGTGGTTGTTGATCGGGGGTTGAGCCAAGTACTCCATCAAGTTAGGAACAGCATTGATTTTCTGATCTTGCACCTTTGCTCTGAATGCAGATATCTGCTATCTGAAAGGAAAACCAACTAGTATTCTCAACACCTTTATTACTTCTTCACTTCGTTACATCCAAAACCTTACGAAGGTAATGCGAGTATGACACAACAGAGCAAAAAAGCAGAACAATTTTCTTGAGCATGTACACGGAAGTTAAACCAAGCGGACACGATAGATACAGGTACGATCAGGCAGGTACGCATTGCGCATTCGCTGCCGCTTCATCCACTTTGTTGATTGGTCAAATCACTGATCAACCGGAATGAGCATCCGCGCGCACCTCTCTTGCGGGCTAACATTGGCATTCGCGCGCATGAGTCATCATAACGCCCGTACTCGGCACCCGCGTTGCAGGACGCTCCATGCGTTCAGCCTACAACAACCCGAGCGATTTCGTGCAGGCGACTATACTGATCTGACCAAGCAGAGAAATGGGTGAAGCGGCTAAGCGAATAAGCCTGGCACTTTTCTTACGACTGACCAATTTAATTTTTTAGGCATTGGAGTTAAGGAACATTGAATAATGATGTGATCTTCTGGGCAGTACAAAAAAACAGTAGTCTTCTAATGCATCCTAAAAACCGGAACAGCGAAGAGAAAGTGGCAAAACACAATACAAGTGAGAGTCACTCCGGGTATTGAGTAGGTAGATCTGCTGCAATTTGGATGATCACTTCTTCATCCTCGTATCTAGTTTTTTCGTATAGGGTATTCATGAGCCACTGCATTTTATGGCGTGCGAATACAATGTCCATATTTCTAAGCCAACAAGGTTACCTAAAAGCATCATTTCTTTACTGTGAGTTGTCCACAATGACTCACCGAAGTGTGTGAATTTGTTGGTATTCCTCAGCTTTTCCAGATGCTCTCCGAGGGAATCTGTCGTTTCACGTACCGGATTCTGTTCTAAAATACTGTAAATAATCCTTTGATCTTTGAAATGCAGTCACTCTTTTTCACTAAGTCAGCCCTCTTCGCGACTTTTTTCTTTCCCGATGTATCGCTACTTTTGCCCAGAAGGGAACAAGAAGGCTCCATTTGCTGGTTGGTCGATGCATCTGGTTCCTGCGATAGTCTGCGTCCGAGTGGTTTTCGCATCCTAGGCGAATTTGCAATCTCTAAAATTGGTTCATAAAACACCACATAATATCTTCTCTGATGTATTATTTCTTTTGCCGCGAAGAGGATAGGGGGAGTCGCATCCACTTGCTGGTTGGTCGGTGCATCTCACTCCTGCGATGATCTGCGTCGGGGTGGTCTTGCGGCCCAGGCGAATTTGGAGGCTCTGAAATGGCTTCAAAGTCTTTCGAATCAAATCAGTTAACGTCAAAAAACCGTACCGTTCTCATTATTGATGTAATCACTGTTGGACTCGCTTAATGAATTCGAGTTCTTTGGCCTGGAAACAGCGTATAACCACTGGCGTTTCATTATGTGCAATGATACTTACGCATCAACGTCAGCATTGTCCAAAAACGTCATGTATCTGAAAATCCCGTGAACCCTCTTTGCTTCAGAGCGGCTTCCAAGGTCTCTGTTTCCCAAGTTGCCATCTCGTAACCTTTTCCACATGTTTTTCGAGTAATTTACCGGAATCAACAAATAGATTGTTTGACCAATTCATGTTCCATGCACCATCGCATATGTGCCCACTCTGCGCCATTTTTGCTCTAAGCTTTTCCATCCTTCAATGCGCTTCTCCTCTGTGTGATAACCCTCCAGTCTCACATTCCAAACCACTGATGTTTCCTCTACCAGTTGACACAGATCCATCCGTATATGCATGGCTGCGACAGATCTGATATTGGAGATAAGGGCATGTTGTTGAACGAAATGATTTACAACATGAAGTTTTCACTACGTTGTAGGCGTTTCGTTCAAGTTCATAATTCTTCTCCGCGGGTTACAATGCTCAAAGTTTGAAATGAAAACAAGATACGGTGTGCACAAAGTTCATACGATAACGCTAAAGAAAAGTTGTTGGTTATTCACATTTTCAATACATGAGACTAGACCTAAACTCTCTTGTGAATCTTGTGACATCAACACAGAGCATTAGCAACGAGCATTAGCAGCATGTACTGAAGAATTGACTGAGTTAAAGCGCGTGCAGATAAGGTGCAGAAACTGCAGAAACCTGTGAAACTTGAGAAGGTGCAGCCACTATACGTCTAATTTTACTCCGGTAATTAGCAAATCGAACATAAACTCGCAGCAAAGCCATCAACATCTGCGTATCTAGAATGCAATGCCCACCTTGAGCGAAAGCAAGACAGCCACTGCGCTTGTGCTGACAGTCAAGGAAGTTGAATCGAGAGAAACAGCTGTGCACCAGGAGTCGTCCCGCAAGGGTTCCCGCGAAAGTTTATGTTAATATGAAGAGATGAATGATAGAAACTTTCATAGTGTACATAGAAAGCACGCATTGGCAAAAATCAACGAGCAGACATTGGAAAAGTTGCCTGAGTTTTCTCAGAGTGCGCGACCTGCGCCGGCGCTGAGTAGGCAGGGCAACATATAACGTTACCTGAGGTCCCGACGGGAACTGCGATTAATGATTATTTTGCCGGCGCTGAGTTTGTCAAAGGCCGCCACAGGTCGGCACTTTGGAACCTGAAGAGGACTTGAGATAAATAAGAAAACTTTCTTCTTGTTATAGATATGTTGAGCATACTCTTTTAGAAAAAAAACAACAGAATTCATGAAAGGTCAACACATAAAAGCAAAGGCAAACACACTGTCAGGAAGACGATAGACAGACAAGAGTACAACAAGAAGAATAATTAAGTGAAAAGACCGGCTTGCGAACACAACGCACATGCCTACCGCCAAAACTTGCAAGAGGACGTTCCGGCCCTTTCTACCGCTTTTGGGCTTTATGGGCTTTTTCGGGCTTTTTTGGGGCGCTTTTGAGCTTGAAGAAGCATGACGGGTCCCTAACAGACAATCAGCATAACAATTAACTCTTATAAACCAGCTCAAACATTCATGCGTGCGGCGTACGCTCGCTAATGACCAGCAATGCAATCCTCGCGCAATTAAAGGCAGTGCCCGGGCAAAAAGTCGATTTTGAGATTTTGTGCTTCCCGGGCCTATCCGCTATGCTGAACCCGAAAAAATCCACACTGGAGAGCGCAAAAACGGCGGAAAATGGCTATAACGGAGGAGGGAAATCAGAAGTAGACGGGGTCTTCTCCACTGTGATTTCATGGTACCAGATTTCATAGCGATCATCTCGGTTCCTTTAAGTCACGCATTCGCTTTTGACCTGTGGAGATGTCAGCGCGGCTAAAGGAATTGAGAAGATCGCTTCGGAAGCCTGTAGCATGAATTTACAGTGGGGAATACCCCGCCCACTCCCTGATTTCGCTCCTGCGTTAAAGCCCTCTTTCACCGTTTTCGCCCTCTCCAGCGTGGATTTTTGGATTCAGCAGCAACAGATCGCGAATGGGCCCTGGTAAAAATCTCAAAATCGACTTTTTGCCCGACACTGCCTGGCGACGCATCTCGCGGATCACAGCTCTGCTCGCATGCCTGCATGCCTTGTGGGCGGCGAATAAGTCTATTTGTGCGACCCTCGCGCGTACCGTTGACGCCTAATTGC